ATTATCTTTACACTCCCAGAAAGATGTCCTAGCCCTGACCGGTGTGGCTTAGTTGGTTGAGCGTCCTTCCGTGCACCGAGGGGTGCCTGGGTTGTGGGCTCAATCCCTAGTAGGGAGTGTGTAGGAGGCAGCAGATGGATGTTTCTTTCTCTCATGGATGTTTCTCTTTCTCCCTCTCTCTCTCAAATCAATAAAAACATTTTTTTAAAGAGATGTCCTAGAAAAGGACACGACACAGCTGCAGGTGCAGAGACGAGCACTGTAGGAGTGGCAAGTCCCGAGGGAGGCCCAGGTTTAATCTGGAAGGAGGGGGTTTTAATGGGACAATGAGCTAGTTTCCTTCCCGTTATCACGGTAGAATTGTGCGTGCTTCGTTAGTGATTGGGTGCCTGTGAGCTCACACTCAGAGGTCAGGCCCAAGTCCATGGTGCCGGAGCCACAGATGATGAAACTCTGTTTTGCTCCCTGCAAACAAGGATGTTCCCGCAAGGGGGGGGGGGGGGTGTTGTTAAAACCCTCCTGTGAAAGACTGTTAAACAAACATGATCTTTGTTGATGTAAGATGAATGCAATACAGAGGCTGGGTAAGGAGAGTTTAGGGAGCTCAAAGAATTTGCACAAGTTATACCCTTTGGTAAGATTCATAGGATGTTTGTCTCTTGGCGACAAGGAAATCATTTGCTTATACCCTAGAATATTCTGCACTAACCAGCTGGCAGATTCAGTCTGTGTACCCTTGATTTTTAAAGAGCAGACTTCTAAATGTTTACAGAAAATATAGATATAACTCCATGGACTACATGTAACAGGGCCATTGGGAAAGAAGTAAAGACAAATACAGTCAAAATCCTAGTGGAATGCTTGGTGTGAGGAACAAGATGGGCAGATGGCTACCACGGGAGTTCATTGGAGGTGTCAGACTTAAAAGATGGGAGAGGAAAGTAAGTGATACGAATCTGTGAAAATAGTAAAGGGGTGTTTGAGTTGAATCTTTATGAAACTTAGTCAGGGAGGAGAAAGAGAAGGAGGAACCCGGTGTGATAGCCACAGGTGGCCGAGGGAAGGCAGAGAGGCTCACTCCCTCGTTTGCTTTTGTCATTACTAGAAGGTGGCTGTCTCACCAGGTGACACAACACACAACAGAAAGGGGACCTGAAGCCCAAATTGGTGAGAGAACCGAAGCTGCTTTTACACTAGTTCACAGTCTCAGGCCCGGATGAATTCTGTCTCACAACATTAAGTTGTAGATCTGAGTCTGGAGTAACCACCTTGGAGGTAGTCCCGGAGGTGCCCTGAGGTACAGGCAGGAAGCAGAAGAAAGGAAGGAAGCCCATGGAGATCATAGGAACTGCTGATCAGGGAGCTGGACATGGTTCACCAGCAAAACACTAGCCCATCAGAATGTAGTTGGAAAAGAAGTGACCGATTCCCAAGAGGCATGAGTTCAGCAAGAACAAGTTATGCCTAGCTAACTCCACTCCATCTTTTTCCATGGTTATTAGATTGGTAGATTTGGGAAGTTTAAACATAACGTGTTAGGATTCTGGCAAAGCATTTAACAGCATGTGTTAGGATAACCTTGGGAAAGTTGGAGAGAACTGTGGGTTTCCAGTTGGTTGCATGAGATTACCGGGTCGATACCAGCTTGGAGAGACAGTCTTGGTGGCCTGCCATGGTACTCTGTCCTTGGCCCTGTGGTGTGTAGGCATGTTTATCATTTATTTACTGGGATTGAGATAGAAGACATGCTTATTACATTGGCAATGGCATAAGGATAGGGAGGGTGCTAAATACATTGACTGGTTGATGGACTTGTATTACACATAATCCCAAATAATGTGAAGCTTAAAATTCTGAATTTAGGTTTCAAAATAATCAGTGAAACAAAATGGAATCAAGAAGACCAGTGTATGTAAACATCTTTGGGAGGAAAAAAAGACGCCTGGGCGTTTTAGTGAAGTATAAACTAAGTATGAACCATCCATTCACTGACCAAATGTTTACTTCACTCCTATGTATATTTTAATCACTCTCAGTACATTGAGAATGCAACAAGTGAGTAAAATACAGACCTTGCTTGCAAGAAGCTGTTAGTCTAAAGGAGTGTATTCGTTTCCTAGGGTTGCCATGAAAAAGTACCACAAACTGGGTGGCTTAGAATAAAAATACATACTGACCCACAGTTCTGGGACCCCGAAGTCTAGAATTAAGGTGTCAGCAGGGCCAGCCTCCCTCTGAAACCCTGGGCAAGAATCCCTCCTGGGCCGTTGGAGCTTCTGGTGGTAGCCGTGGAGCTTTGGTGTCCTTGGCTTGCAGCTGCATCCCTCCACCGTCTGCTCTGATGTCACACGGCATTCTCCCCGTGTGTCTGTTTTCATCTTATAAGGCCTTTTCCTCATCTTATAAGGACACCAGTCCTATGGGATTAGGGCTCACCCTAATTAGGGCTCATCTTCATTTGATAACCAGACCAAGAACCTGTTTACTGATAGGTGCTTCCCCATATCTTTTACAGGAGGGCAGTTCATCCGAAACATGTTCACCAAGGCATTTGACTCTGATCCTATTAAAGAAAAGAGTGCCATAAAGGATTAAACAAACAAGCTCTAGACTACGAGACAAGAAAGCGGAGTGCTGTGAGAACAAGTGGCAGGGAGGAGGGGTGTGGAGGATGCTGGGAGCTCTCTAGGCAAGGAGGAGGGGTAACTTTCCAGGAAGAAGGAGCAACTATGCAGAGAGTCTGGAGGCAGTAACAGGCTTTGAGTTCAGAGCAAGTTCAAAGGAAACAGTGTAGCTGGAGGGCGTGAGCAGGAGGCAGAAGATGGACGGAGGAGAGCCAGGAGCCGGCCAGCACAGCTCTGTGCACTGTGCTGAGTTGGTTTGTGGCATCTATTAAAAATAACACAGCCCTAGTCGGTTTGGCTCAGTGGACAGAGCATCAGCCTGCGGACTGAAGGGTCCCGTGTTCTATTCCGGTCAAGGGCACATGCCTACATTGTGGGCTCGATCCCCAGTAGGGGGTATGCAGGAGGCAGCCGATCAATGATTTTCTTTCATCATTGATGTTTCTCTCTCTCTCTCCCTCTCCCTCCCTCTCTAAAATCAATAAAAATATATTTTTAAAAAGGCAAAAAGAATAAATAGGAGTATACAGAATTGGAGGAAGAAAACAAGCAAATTAGACTCTCTGCTTGCGTGACCACATCTGAAATGCTTTGTCTTGTTGGGAGTGTCATTTAAAGTTAGGGCTTTTCAAAATGTGCTTCTCGTACTTTGAATTAATGTATTTCTCGGAGAGGAAAGAAGTTGTGGGATGATAGCCATGTGGGTTATTCGAATGAGAGGACTTTTCCACCTTTGCTCTTAGGGCAGAATGAGGCCAATGGGCAGGCGTTATAGGGGGGCTTCGGGCAGGGGGAGGGCTTGTGGCAGTGAGAGCTACACAAGAGCAGAGGATGCCTCGAGAATGCGGCCTGCCCTTGCCCATGGGGACGGCCACCTGTCAGAGAAGAAAGGAATTCTGCAGCAAAGGCGGGGTGGGGAACTTCCTCCACGAGGTGTACCCACCAGGGTTTCGTGTTTGATGTTAAGATTTCTAAAATGCATTAACATGCCCTTTATAATTAAACATCAAGAGCATTCAGAAGGCTTTAACATGAAATGTCACCGGGGGGTTATTAAATAATGGAATTCACTGAGAAGTCTTTATGATGCAATGTTGGATGTCAGCGACATCGAAATTAACACAGCTCTGCAGCATCACAGCCAGGCACGCGCTCTTCGGAGGCCACGGTGTTCGCAGGAAGTATCTTCATCTCATGTCGTGGCTACAACTGTCTCTTTCCTTTCCCTGATGTCCTTCCAGCCGCCCTTGATGGCCTGGTTCTATCCGCCTCGTTTCCAGGGATCAGTTGCCAGTCATGTACGTTAAGCCAAATAAATCCTACTTAGAAGTGGTGGTATGTAAATGTGTACATTCTGTCTTACACCAACTAAGCAGTTTCACCTTCATGGGAGGCGGGGAAGCCGGAGACACACAGTGTATGGGAAAGTGTTAATCCTCCCCACGTGCCTCAAGACCCAGAAAACCGGCCAGCTGCCAGGAATATATTTAAAAAGGATTTCAAGCTCCAGCCAGTTTGGGTCAGTGGATAGAGCAGGGGTGGGCAAACTTTTTGACTCGAGGGCCACAATGGGTTCTTAAACTGGACCGGAGGGCCGGAACAAAAGCATGGATGGAGTGTTTGTGTGAACTAATATAAATTCAAAGTAAACATCATTACATAAAAGGGTACGGTCTTTTTTTTTTTTTAGTTTTATTCATTTCAAACGGGCCGGATCCGGCCCGTGGGCTGTAGTTTGCCCACGGCTGGGATAGAGCATCAGCCTGCAGTTTGATTCCAGTCAAGGACACATGCCGGGGTTGCGGGCTCCATCCCCAGTAAGGAGCGTGCAGGAGGCAGCCGATCAATGATTCTCTCTCATCGCTGATGTTTTTCTCTCTCTCTCTCCCTCTCCCTTCCTTTCTGAAATCAATACAAATATATTAAAAATAATTTTAAAATAATAACAAAAAGGATTCCAGCATTTCCTTGTCTCTCTTGAAGGAGATCCAGTTCGTATTCCATACCAGCACTTCGAAAAACCGGCCCCCTTTCCTCTCTGCCTCCTTCTCTGGGCCAGGTGGATCCTGGGCTGCCTGCTTTCCTTCCTTCCGAAGCTTCATTGCATTAACAGCCAGGCTTCTTGGCGTTACTGTTTCTGAGTGGGTGGTGTTTTTTTTTTTTCTTCTTGGAGTCAAAGGAGTCAGGAATTGACAGAGAAGGCAAGAAAGTCCCTTTCTGCTGTGCCCGCAGTAGCTCAGAAGGCCGGGGAGCGGGCAGCACCAGGTCCACCAACCCCGTTACTCGCCTGGGTTCAAGAAGGGGCGTGTTGCAGGGGAGGTAGGTGGGTAACTGGACTGTGGCATTCACGTGGATAACAGCAAAACAGACGGCGAGGAAGGGAGGCCGAGGCCAGAGGCCAGAGGGGTGGTCCTGAGACCAGGCGAAGTGTTCCAGTGGTGGATGCTGGCAGGAGGCGGATTGGATCCCCGTGTAAGTAAAAAGATCCAAAACTCAACTCATTCTGCGTGTTCCATACTACTGTTATTGGGGAGTATGCTGTTGTTTGTAAACATTGACAAGCATGATTTAAGATCAAGGACACTAGACTGTTTGACTCAAAGAATTTGTTTACAAATCGCTGCACAGCCTGGATTCAAATGCTCGCTTCCTGCCCCAGGCATCACTTCAAGTTAGGGGTGGGAAGTAGAGCTGTTCCCTGGACCCGCTGGAGTCAGAGCCCAAGATACCGTATTCTCTCTCCGCGTCTGAGCGCTGATTACTCTGAGGTCAGACGAAGCAGCTCTTGGAGAAGCATTTCACTTTTCCTTTTCAAAATTTGTAAAGCTTGATCTTTTAGAGAAATTGACATTCATTAAGTAATTGATATGCCCTAATGACAATTTCTCCAACCTAAAAGTTGGAGATCAGAATTTTTCTTAACTTTTCTAATAATATTACAAAAAGAGAACACACATGGGACAAGAATGTCAGACCTCAGTTTTAGGGACCTCATCATTAACAAGTTATTTTAATTTTTAAAATTCTTAGTTCGCATCTCCTAAACCTAACATTTAGTGGCTCTGCATGGTGGTGGTGAGGAACGGGCACTGTTTTCGTGGCTTTCTCTGAGCGCACAATAGAAATGTTTTATTCAGACTTGCTGGATGCCAACAGGAACTTTCAAATCTCTCTCAGCCAATAGCAGTGTTTCCACAAACTGCCAAGATGCTAATGATGCAAGTTCTGGCAACACATTGTTTCTGTATTTTAAGAAGTAACAAATCAGAACATGCTTTTCAAAATTGAAAATATAGTCTTTTCTAGAAAAGTCTTTTCTGAAAAACCATAAAACATAAGTACACTTGGTATGTGATCCATCTAAATTCCTTGAACTTGCACTTAGAGTGAATGCGAATTCTTGTCGCATTCCTTCCCTGCCACAGTTTGACGGAGGAATGTTGCCTAGCATTGAAACAGAAGTGGTTTAATCTTAGCAATGAATGAAACCAGGTTCCTTTGAGGAGGGGTGTGAGGTAGTAAATTGAGGCGGTACTTCGGCTCTAATGGAAAAAGCATGATTAGAGGAAACCAATGTTCAAAAGCATTTCTCAATTCTTTGCTCTTGAGCAAAAAGAGCTTTCTTGGTCTTTAACATGCCTCCTCGTCCATGAACATACTTGTAGCATTTTTAATTTGGAATCCAGCTACTAATCCAGAAATAAGTTTAAAAACAAAAAACAAAAAAAACTTCCTGAGGATTGGCTATAATTCAACAGGGGCCTGGGATCTCTGAGGTCACCTGGATTTCATTGGTGCCCTTGAGTTGGCTCTAATTTGTATGCTGGTGAATTAAATTAGAATGAAGGCGATAGGGAGTATTTTTTGCTTGTTTTTTAAAACAGTTATGTTTGTCTTTTTATGCAGTTTCTTGAGATGTAATACAGTGGGGCCTTGACTTACGAGTTTAATTCGTTCCGTGACGGAGCTCGTAACTCAAATTACTCGTATGTCAAATCATAAAGTGAACGAGTGAGACACGTGATGCTGGGCTGATGTTGTGGCGTTCACTGTGACGTTCGCTGCGCCAACTAGCGGTGGGGTATCTGAAGCTGGCTCGTAACCCGAATTTTAGCTCGCAACTCAAAGCAAAAAATCGGCCGAGAGACTGCTCGTATCTCGAAAAACTCGTTAGTCAGGACACTCGTAAGTTAAGGCCCCACTGTACCAAGCGAATCACTTTCTTGTAAGATGAGCAGTTCCCACACCTGTGACCACAGCAGGACCCCTGAACGGTGGCAAGATCTGATCCACAACAATCAGAGAAACCTCGAATTAAACTTCAGTGATCTAGGAAGCCCACTCATCTAGAATATCTTGTGGCATAAAAACGTGCCCAATGTGACTGTTTTCTGGCAGTTCAAAGAGCTTGACATGGCCATTTGGATTATATTCTAGAAGCTCTGCTGACCCCTACTTACCTCTAGCTCTCCCCAGTCCCTGACCCATGAGGAATACTCAACAAACGTTAGTCATTTTAGTAGTATAGCATTTAAGTAGTGACGAGTATGGAGTCCTTAGGGTACCTCCTGATGTTTGGGATGGCACGTCTTTACCTGGTGACAGGGGCTCGCAGAAGACACTTCCTTCAGTAGCTGGTAGGGGCGAGGGACAGATTGTACCCTCTGGCATGTGGGGTGATTTATTAACCAAAGATTGCTAAGACCTAAAGGGCCAGGCGGCTGTCTGATGCGAAGCGTATTACCAGGGTCCTTGGCGGAGGAAACCAGGTGCTGACTGGCCAGATACTCCTGTCACAGAGGTGCTGAGGGCTCTGTTTCTTTTCTGCACTTTTTTTTTTTAACTTCTGCTCTTCTCCAACCCTAACAACAAAAGTTGGACATTTTTTTCTTATTATTCTGCATCTATTTGGATGAGACAGCTAGGTATGCCTATGCCTTTTTTTTTCCTTTCCTGAAACTAAGTAGATACCCATTTTGAAGCTGCCTTTACAAACTTTCCAAAATTCTCTATCAGCTATTTGTTTGCCGGATGTCCCTAGGAAAGTTGCTTGTCTGTGTCTGGATTCCTGTCAGAAGCTTTGAAATAGCTTAACTTCCTGGTAGTGCCAATCTACAAAAGCCTAAGTGACTGGAATGACCAGTCGCTATGATGTGCACTGACCACCAGGGGGCAGACATTCAATGCAGGAGCTGACCACCTGGTGGTCAGTGTGCTTTTACAGTCAACCTCCCCCAGCCAGCCAACCTCCCACTGTCTCTCCCCCTTGCTGGCAGGCCGCAGGCTGGGACGGGGAACCAGTGGTGGGTGGCAGCGGACGACGCCCCATTCCCAGGGGGGCCAAGGGCCGGCTCCCTCCTCGGGTCTGGTGGCCAACCTCCTGTGCCCTGTTCCTTCCCCCCAGCCGGCAGGCCCCGATCGGCCCGCCACCCACCCACTGCAGTGGCAGCATGGCAGTGAGGGAAGGAGGAGTGGGGGAGGGGGAGCCATGCAGTGGCAGGGCGCCGATGATGGCAGCATCGGAGTTCAGCATCTGTTCCTTTGTGCCTGGCTCAGCAACCAGCACCTCCTCTTCAGCCTGGCCCTGATTGGCCTGGCCCCGATTGGCCCTGATCGCCAGCCAGGCCTAGGGACCACTCCTGTGCATGAATTTCGTGCACCAGCCTCTAGTTTGATATGAAAGGAGAGAAAATGTAAATGTTATTCCTACAATGTCATGACCTTCCAGTGACCTCCAGGTGTCTTTAATTTTTACCTATTTCTATATTTGCACTTACCTATCTGGAGGAAATTTGGAGGAAGATATTATACAGACAGTTTGATTTAGAGAAAAGAAAAGTTTTGAACCAAATATAAATGAAAGGTATATGAAAAAGTATCTTTGTTTTCCAAAAAAATAAACATTTTAGGTTTGAATGCAAAGGTTTGTGGTTGTTTGGTTTGGTTTTTTACTAACTAGAGTGAACAGTTACCATTTCAGATGATCTTTTATCCTGAATTATACTTTTGATGTATTTTTTGAGAAATTAATCTCTTAAATATAAATAAAAATGAGAGAAATGTCACTAATCCCATGGTATTATGCCCATATTTTCTTCTCCCTTCTATTAAATTATTTAGCATATAATAAAATTTGAAAATGTTCTTGAACTTTAAAGTTGTAGAAATGTAGTTGATGGTGAGTTTGCAGATTGCCAAACCATAAGGTCTAGTTTAAAGAATACACACACACACACAGACACACACACACAGACACACACACACACACACAATGCAACCAAGATCCAAGTTCTATGTGGTTTAATTTCTCTTTCCCTGTCGGTCCAAAAACAGAAAGTGCAGATGTCTCCCTATGATACTAGCAACTCGAACGGGGAAGGGAAATTTGGTTATAATTAGGATGAGCTAATTCGTTGAGGATTTGCTGGAGCGCCTGCCTGCCCACCGGCTTGCCACAGCTCTTTCTCCTGTAAGATTTGTTGACAGGACCTGTGATACTGAGACGGAGAATTAAGTTTGAAAATTCGGCCTGACTTAGCGGAGGAGAGGAAAGATTCATTTCTGTGTCACTAAATGCCTCATCAGGCTCCTGAACCAGAGTAAAAATCCAGGACGGACGTTTGACTGCAATTTGCAGATTTGGAAAGATTCCTGTGGTCAGCGGAAAGGAAGTCTGCTCTGGGGTGGTGTCATATCACCAGGACTAGGGCTTACTTGACCTGCAATGCTGTGCTGTCACATTTACAGCCTGGATTGAAGAAGGTTGAGAAGGAGGTGCTGAGGAAGGAATTGAGCTCTGGGGCAAGAATTACAAGGGGCTCCAGCAAGGAGTTAGGTTTCTTGAAACTGTTTACTTACGGTGGGGGCTGCGGAAGACCCACCTGTATCATCAGGCTCCTTAGAATCATTCGGAGATGTTTGCACTGCAGCGTCTATTACAGATCCCTCCAGCCTGCCCTTGGCTAATTACATTTCCAGATTTAGGCTGAATATTTGCAGATTTTTCTTCTCAATAGAGAGACCACTGTCTTAGCAATAAGTAAAGTAATTATTTATTGGAGAAAGGTACACATCACCAATCACTTGTGACCTCATAGGAATGTTGATTTGAGTTTTGCATTCTAAGGGGAAGGCCATGGGTATGAATGTTAACGGAGACCTCTGCATGCATGTAGGTTCCCTATTAAATACCAGTCCTTGGTCACAGTAGCAGTAGCTGACAGAGCCCTTGGAAAAACAAAGTCAGTACTCTCCAGGCCAATAGCCCTGCGTCTTCTCCCTACATGGTGTGTTGTGGATGAGACAGTCAATGGGCAGAGGGTGCAGACCCGAGTCAAAGGCTCAGTATGAGTGGAATTTTCTCCAGCAATGAAAGAACCTTGTAGAAGTGAGAATAAGGTCATCACCACTGCACACAAGGAGCGTACCTTTTAAAAACGTTTTAAAGGAAGAGTTACTCAACTTTTAAAATATGTCAGTGTCAAATTGTATCACTCAGATTCGACACAAACACCCTGTTTTTTCATTCTTCTGTTGCCATAGTACGTTCATCTATCAGTCCGTCTCCACAAAAAACAAAAGCACAGGATTCATTTTTCTTTATTGACTAAACAGTGTCTGTTGCACCTGCTGGGACTTAACAAATGTTTGGTTAGCAATGATACATCAGATTGACTCAGGATGTTTTACATTGCGTTTCTCCGTCCCATTATATTTCTACAAAATTGATATGGTGCCAGGGCTTTTGCCATCAGTATTTTATCAGCTGTGCGTAGCTGAGAGTGTTTGCAGAGAGCACTGCGTAACCTGTCAGTTCTAGGAAGAGCGCTTGACGTATGCTTTTCTGTTACTTAAAAGCTAACGGAAGCTTAGCAAACGCAGCTTTATCTTATTTTCTGAGGGCAACATGGAAAACGGCCCAAAATACTTTCCAGCAATCAGGTCCTATCTGATTAGAGTGGCGCATTTCTGTAAAGAACAGCCCTGCTTCCTGTGTACTGTAGAATGAATTAAATTCACTTTTACATTGATGAGATGACGGTAACGTATTCATTTTGGGTAACTGTTGACAATAAAAGTTTTCACTATTTTTGACATTTTCAAAGGTTTGTTTATTGGTTGGCTTGCTTATTCCCTTTCATTTTTTAGACTGTTTATTTTGTGTGTGTAGAAGGGGGGGTGTAAAAGAAATTTCACAAAGAACAATATGACAATAGTACCAGAAAAAAAGGATTTAGAAAAAAGAAAACTTACCCACAATCCTATCACACTCCAAAATTTCTTAATTGTCCCTTCTTTATTTCAGATCCTTTGCTTAAATTGTTAACCGTTATAGAATTTGTGTCTTTTCCTAAAAATTGAGGTTAAGTGTTTTACCAACTGTGTTTTATCTAAAGACAAACATGTATCCCTCATTTTTAATATCAGCTGTTTGCTAATGATGTATATGACATGTGCAGCTTTCACATGATCTTAAATCATTACGAAATTCAGTAAATCTTCATTTCTGAGCTTTTTAAAAATTGGTAGTTGTCCCTAAATCTTGAATAAAAACATTTAAATGTTAGAGAAGGTCAACATTTAGTAATACCCTCAGTTCCCCCCAGCTTCCCTCCCCGCCCCACACACACACCTCAGTTGACCTCTATTTAACTTCAGTGTTTTACTTTTTAAAAAAATATATTTTTTTTATTGATTTCAGAGAGGAAGGGAGAGAAAAGAGAGAGACAGAAACATCACTTATGAGAGAGAATCATTGATTGGCTGCCTCCTGCACACCCCCTACTGTGGATTGAACTCACGACCCCGGCATGTGCCCTGACCAAGAATTGAACTGTGACCTCCTGGTTCATAGGTTGATGCTCAACCACTGAGCCACACTGGCCGGGCAGTGCATTTCACTTCTTGATTCTTTTTTAAGCAGTACACTTTCCTACCTCATCTTCTATATGTATTATATGAGAAATAGCTTGTCAAGTGTTAGTTGTAGAAATTAATACACATTTCATTTATAGAAGTATTGATACCTTTTGACTTTGGAAGCCAGAATATTGACAACATTGGAGATGGCATTCATCTGTATTTCCAAATTCTCCACCAAGTATTTGTGAAGTGCCATGCTTGGCATTCTGGCAGGTTTTGTGGAAAATACTGATGTGCAAACTTTATTGTTGCTGTAAGGAACTTTTTACTCATCTTTGTTTTTCTTTAGGATTTTTCTCTGTATTCTTTGAGCTGCTTTCAATATCAAGGACTTGCGTTTGCAGTGATATGTGAATAATGTTTAGCGAGCTAGCTTTATCTACTAGGTTTATTGTGAGATTAGATTATTCATATCCCAGACAAACATCTGTTATGAGCAACTAGTCGTTTAGATTTAGTATAGAAAATTTATCTTTTTTATTTATTATTTTTAAATAAAATAATTTTTAATAATAAAGTTCTTTTAAACAGAGATTAAGGTTGAGAACTGTTTAGAGGTTTATTTTCTAGGATAAGAAACCTCTTATTTCTCCCTCTCCCTTCCTCTCTGAAATCCGTAAAAATATTTAAAAGAAACCTCTTAAGTTCTTTGGAGAAGATTCCAAGTTGTGACCTCATGAGTTAAGGTTATTGATAATTAATGTCATGAGATCAAAGGGGATGGCACTCAACCTCTAGTTCAATACAACTGGCAAACTTGAATTTGAACTTCCAAAAAAAATAATATAGTTGATTTTATGCACCAATAAGCTGCATATACTATTATATTCCCTATTCCTTAGTTATTTCCTAATCTGTTGAGTTACATGTCTCTGTAGACAAGGCCATGTAGATTTTGATTTTTGTACTTCTTTTGCACATATATTGTACATATTCATTGGAGATGAATTAGAAATACACATTAGGAATATAATGAATATTATATGAAATACACAGGAGTAAAACTTAGCCCACCACCCAAAGATCACTAATGTTAATATTTGGGTATAGTTTGCTTTAGCCTTTTTTGCTGTAATAGGTGCATTTTTTTTCTTACCTAATTCCATTTTTTGTTTTATAACCTAATAATATTTTTTTCAGTGCTAAGTTTTTTGGGCCTGTTTGGAGTGGGGATGGGGGGGGGGGCGGGTTGCAGAATGAGACTTGCTATCTACTTTATTCATTGCATTTCAAAAGAATACATAAAAGTTGATATGGACTTTGGGTTAGTATATGTATTTAGAAATCTCAAGCAGCTATAAATAAGCATGTGTATTTCACTACAAATTCATACTTAAAGCATAGTAGGATAGCAGTTTTAGTTAGAAAAATCCAAGCATGTTTTGGGGGAAATCTTTTTCTTCTAAAAGGTTCAAATGACTCCACATAAAAGACAAAATGGAACAGAATGAAATGAAAACAGAGAAGCTAAAACACATATTTGAAAAGCATGTTCATATCCTGAAAACACATATATGCTAAAGCTATAGAATACATAATGATGGTGAATTTACCTGCCTTTCCCATAGCTGGCCTGCAAGTCTTCTAAAGCTGGACCATCCATTCTAGACTTACTCTTAGCACAATTCCTGGCAGATAGTAACACCTACAAAACATGAGTTGAATGAATGACTGAAGAAAAAAGAAAAGAAAGAGAGAACCAAAAAGATGGGGTCATTCACCCCTTCCTTGTAGTGAAGACCAGTTAACCAACTTATGGAAAATAGATTTATCAGCATATCTTTAAAAATGGTAGCAACAAAAATGACAAATCTTTTTTAATCACTCCGGGCTCCTACTCCTTTGCACCCCAAATAAGCCATTATCTCAGCCCTTATAAAAGGGCATATCTAAGTGAACTCTGAGAAATTCCCCGCTTTGGCTCATGAAGCCCTCCTGATGGCTCTCGGCCACACCTCTAGCAACTAGTGAACAACAAAAATCCAGGCGCCATAATTGAGCTGAGACGCTAGGCCTGGGGTTGGAGGGATGACGATGCCAGACCAGCCTCTAACACCCTCCCTCCTCTCTCTCCCTCAGGTTGACGTTTTCACCATGATCCCCTGCAGAGCAGCGCTGTCTTTTGCCCGATGTCTGATCAGGAGAAAAATCGTCGTCATGGACGGCCTAGAAGATTCCAAATTAAGCCGTTGCTTATCCACCATGGACCTCATTGCCCTGGGGGTTGGAAGCACCCTCGGTGCTGGGGTTTACGTCCTGGCTGGGGAGGTGGCCAAGTCGGATTCAGGCCCCAGTATCGTCCTGTCCTTCCTCATCGCCGCCCTGGCTTCGGTGATGGCCGGCCTCTGCTACGCTGAATTTGGGGCCCGAGTTCCCAAGACGGGGTCCGCCTATCTGTACACGTACGTTACCGTTGGAGAGCTGTGGGCCTTCATCACCGGCTGGAACCTCATTTTATCCTATGTGATAGGTAGGTTTCCAAAACTCCATCTCATTGTGTGGCGTGGTAGCATAGCACTCCCGAGTCCCAGGCCTTGGGGCTCCCTTGCAGGTCTGTGTTGGTTAATGACCATGGTCTTGAGTGTGAGAATCACATGATCCTCGCGTGCCTCCTTTTTCTCATCTCTACAATGTCTCTCCTTCTCACTGCACAGCTGGGCGATTCTACCTCATCTCTGAATACACCGCTTAGTGGATTTACAAACCTCTTTTCAAAAATATAGCTCGTTAGTGCAAATAAAGTTACCTGATTCCGCAGGTGATGGATTGAGCATTTGATTACTAGGTTATAATTATAATATTATGAAATACTTGTGTGTGGGATGAAAATGGTCAAGTCAATCTGAACTAACTAACCCATGTGTCTCCTAGAATAGAGTAGCAATTGATGTCATGGTCATTTTCGCCCCGTGACCGTGTATTCTCTGAATGCCCTGTGTTTTGGGAAGGTACATCAAGTGTTGCAAGAGCTTGGAGTGGCACCTTTGATGAACTTCTGAACAAACAGATTGGCCAGTTTTTCAGGACGTACTTCAATATCAATTATACCGGCCTTGCGGAGTATCCGGACTTCTTTGCTGTCTTCCTCATATTGCTTCTATCAGGTAAGAAGACCAGTGACACTCCTCCCTACGTTGAGCTAGACTAATTGTCCCAGGAAAGTAGATTACCACTGAAATTGGGGCCTGCGTTCCCAAGACCAGGCGGCATATTTCTACACTTAGATTATCATTGGAGGTCTGTGGACCTGGCTGGAATCCCATGTTATCTTAGGTCAGTGACGGCGAACCTATGACACGCGTGTCAGAGGTGACACGCGAACTCATTTTTTTGGTTGATTTTTCTTTGTTAAATGGCATTTAAGTATATAAAATAAATATAAAAAATATAAGTCTTTGTTTTACTATGGTTGCAAATATCAAAAAATTTCTATATGTGACACGGCACCAGAGTTCAGTTAGGGTTTTTCAAAATGCTGACACGCCGAGCTCAAAAGGTTCGCCATCACTGTGTTAGGTGATAGGCATGCTTCAAAAAGACATCTGAATTGTGTCGAGTGGCAGAAATAGCACTTTCGTGTTCATGGCACTTGGAATGCACTAAATAATAGCAGGAGGCCCGTCAAACTTATAATACTCATTGGAGAGTTGCAGAAATGGCAATGAAGTTTCAGTAAGGAAGAATGTATAATATTTGGCATTATTTCATCCTGTTATATACAATTGAGGATATTTACAAGCATATTATTTCTAAAAGAAAGTCTGTCTTTCTATTCATGCCATTATCTATCTATTGTAGGCATCTGGTGGGTTCTTTTGTTTGTTTGATTTTCTTACTCTTTTCCTATTATTTTTTGGTGTAGACATCATATAGGCAAACATACTTGGTACTAGGATTGTTTTCACCAGCACTGTGGCATAGTGGTTTAGAAGGGCACAGGGAATAGGGTGAGAGAAGCCAGGTTTCTCCTCCTACTCTACCACTTAGAGTCTTTCGAACATTGAGTGACTTCATTTTTCCATGATTCAGTTTGCTCATCCATAGATACCAGTGTTTCTCTTGTACAGGCTTCCTGCTTGGTACCTAGTAAGCACTTAGATGGAAGGCGGTTTTGCTTTGCTGGCATAGTTAATCCCTGCTGTCCCCTTACGTTTGCTTGTTTTTAACTATTTGAACATTTTCTATTTTTCTTGTAATCCCTACCTGCATTCCTGCTAAAACCCATCAAGGATTGCACTAAGAATAAAATCCACTTTTTTTCCACTTCCACTTGATATACACTGGTAATCTGCCCCTTGCTTTCCTAGCCAACCTTCTCTCTAACTCTGTTCTTCCTTGGTTACACACATTCTATAGTGAATGTTTACTTGTAAAGTTATATCGTCTTTAAAATAGCTTTACCCTTTAAAAGTTGGTTGTTAATGAAATGTTTTGTAAAGGGATAGGGCTAGGGGCATGAACAAAAATTATAGATCTAAAATATTTGGCATTTTGCTCTAATATCAAGAAAAATCACATTAATTGTTTTTCAACAGGTGATAGATTTTGTTTTGGTTTCTAAACAGCCTAGGTAACATGAAATTAGTTAGATCATATTTTATTTAGGGATGGTTTCAATGAACTTAAAGTAGTCAGCTGTAATCTCTAAACAATGAGAAGCATGTAGCTATGACACAGTTAGGATCACTAAATTCCACAGCAAGACACAGGCCTTGGCTTGCGTCTTTTGTGGAGTTCTTGACCATCGTGTCTTAACTTTAAATAGAGGCTAAACTTACAAGCGAACATTGTTCTTAGAATCTTTGAAGATCAAAACCCCCTATTACAAATCTTTATTCATAGTCTGATACCAAATATCTTGGCAACTGAAGCTGTTACTTCTTAAGGGCCCAAGGAAAGTTTATGCAATATTTGGATGAGATATTTATTGCTCTCTAATCTACTGGCTGGAGATGGGGATCTCAGAATAGAGAGGGCACGTGGGGTATTGGGGAACTTTTCTAGGGCATGACAGTGGCTTTGCTACTTTCCAGTGTGTATAGTGGCATAGAGCATCATGTATATTTCCTAGGTGTATAGTGGTTCCTGAGCTGACAGGGAGTTACAGAGTCATAGTTCTACTGACTATACAATTTTCCTTTATGTTGTCAATGTAGTTATATTAGTGTAAATTCTGGGAATTCTAAAGGAAGAGGAATGAAATTTGGCTTCTCTCATCTCTACTTGTAGAATTGTGCTTACTAGATGAGGGGTTTGTAGATGAGAAAGAAGCAAGTAAACATAGGGCCTAATCCTTTCATCTCAATAATTTCCTCAAAAGTGAAAAATAAATTTTATTTGATTATACTGATTCATATCTATATAAGGTGGATTAAAGATATAAATATAATCATAAAAATACTAGAATACAAAGGTCAATGCTTTGGGGGTTAATAGTAGGGAAAATCTAAAGGTAGAAACTAAAAAGGAAAATTTTATATTCTAAAACATTAATATTAAAAGCAAATGATAAACTGGGAAAAACTAGGTAATACATGATAGACAGAGAGGTTACAGCATTATTGTTATATAAGTACATCTTATAAATCAATATGAACAAGAATAGCCTAAAAGAAAAAAAATGGGCAATTTAAAGTGGGCCAAACATTATGGAAAATATTTTGATAATATGAACCAAAAGCCTTGTATAAAAGTACATGGCCTTGATACAATATTAACTTTTAGAAAATTACTGTCAAGAAATAATTAGAAAGTGTCAAAGCATATTTATGACAATACTATTTATAGTAGTAAGAAACTAAAGTGGCCTGGTTGTCTCTAAATAAGTGATTAAAGTGCAGTGGGAGAGTATGTGGCCATTAGAAATGTATTTGTTGCCCTAGCCAATTTGGCTCAGTGGATAGAGCGTTGGCCTGTGAACTGAAGGGTCCCAGGTTTGATTCCAGTCAAGGGCATATGCCTGGGTTGTAGGCTCAATCCCCAGTGTGGGGTGTGGAGGAGGCAGCCAGCAATGATTCTCTCTCATCATTGATGTTTCTATCTCTTTCTCCCTCTCCCTTCCTCTCTGAAATCAATGAAAATATATTTTTAAAAATGTATTTGTTAACATGGAGATGTGTGCGCACGGACGTGCAAAATTCTGGACAGGAGATTACACTTGATTTTATTTCCTTTATATGTTGTCTTTGTCTTCGAATTACTTGGATAGGAAATTGATTACTTTTACAATCAGAATATGAAATAAAACTGTAAAAATGAGAATCAACCTAACTATCTTTTGGACATGACAATTAAAGAATTGTTTTTGTTTATGTGTGTAGTAAATATGAGGCAGACATATTAATGAGCTTTTACCTTCAAAATTTTGCAGCTTAATTAACCTTGAAATGGCTTTAGAACAGCATTTCATGAAAACTAAGTTACTTTACCTCTAGCTACCCATTGGTAGTAATAGCCAAGGTGATGAGATTTGTCTGTTTCTAGGCTGGTGTGGTGTCTCGTAGCTGTGAGCACATCTGCCTTCTGGTTGGTTGAATTCAGAGATACTGTGTCTTAGGCCAGCGAGTAAGAACTCACAACGGAAAGGGATGAATATGGCTTAAATATGTGAATGCTGGCGAAATAACATCCTAAAGCCGGGAACTGCCTCAAAAAGCCATTGCCTTTCCTAGAGCTTAGGTCAGACTTGACACGCCCTTTCTTTTTCCATAGGTCTTCTATCTTTCGGGGTAAAAGAGTCTGCTTGGGTGAACAAAATCTTCACAGCTGTCAACATCCTGGTCCTTCTCTTTGTTATGATTGCTGGGTTTGTGAAAGGAAACGTGGCCAACTGGAAGATTAGTGAAGAATTTCTCAAGAATATATCAGCAACTGCCAGGTAAAATATTGGTTTTTTTTCCTCCTCTTGTTCTCTTTTTCTTGGGTGTTGTTGTTCTTTTAATTTACTCACTTGTGTCTTATTTATGTTACCTTTTTTCTACAACAATGGTTCTAGAAGCTTTTTGCTCTGGAGACCTTTCTGAGGGTCCGTTCTATTCCAAGACTCTTCCTCCTGCTCACTCCTCACCCCCACCCCCACCCCTGCCCGCCCTGCCCTGCAGACATGAATGCATAGGTGTGCTCACCATTGAGCCGCTGTGGAAGCCATGCAGCTGCTGGTTCTCACGCTCTGATCCAGGTTGAGGGGAGGAAAAGGTAGACTCTAACCACTGGGAGAATGCTTTTATTTTCTCCCAAAGGTTTGCTACCTCTGCATAACAAGGAGTATTTTTGAATCATTCATCCTTCATCCTTTAGTTTGCCTGTTGGGACCACCATTCGGTTTCATTGCATCTTTCCAGCCTTGTAGTGAATTTCAGGCCTTGTTTTTTGGAGAATGTTATTAGTTGCATAAGCAGACTTGTCCTTGCATTTCACTTTAAACTAGATAGTCTCAAAAATTAAGTAAATAATAATATAGAAAAGGTTTTATTCTGAGGTGTATTTAATCATAATTCTCACTTGTGCATGTAAAATAAGATTACAAGAGTATCGATTATATGGAGTGAGGTATATCTACCTGTGTTTCTTTACATGAGTTGTTAGTAGTCACTCTGATGAAGCAAAAAAAATTATATCCTCTGGTTTTATACAGTTTTTAACATGCAAGGACATGTTCAACTTTAGTATTGTTAATCAAGCCGAGAGAATTCTATTTCACTTTTTCAGATGTTTTTGTAGTGAATTTTTCACTGCTGCCCAACTGTCCATGAGAAGAGGAAGTGTCCTGACTTTATTTCAGATCAGGGTCTCCAGATGGAGTCTCTGCTCTCAAGGTCCTGCCTGGCTGTGAGTTCCAGCCAGAGGGGGTCTGGGCCTCGGCTCCTGCTGTCAGTCAGCCTCTGACCAAGATCAGTGTTGGTACCCCCGAGAGGATGCTGTTGTTGGGGGTCCCACTGTGTTCTCTAGGACAGAGTCAGAGAATCAGGGTTTGCTCTTAGTGTATCAGCTTCAGAGCTGATGAGCACACAGCCTCCTGAGGACGTCGGTTCAGACACATCGCCAGAAACCGTGTCCTATGAAAATGACTTTGTGACGTTTGTTCTCTCCCTTAGAGAGCCACCCTCTGAAAATGGAACAAGTCTCTACGGGGCCGGTGGCTTCATGCCGTACGGCATTGCGGGAACGTTGGCCGGGGCTGCAACCTGCTTTTATGCCTTTGTGGGATTTGACTGCATTGCAACAACTGGTAAGAGCAGAGTCCTGGCTCCAGGTAGAAGGGAGAGGGGCTCTTTGTACCACATGAGTACCCATGGGTGGCAGCAGAGGGTCCAGGAAAGAGAATGGGATTTGGACCGGGTTCCAGACCCAGTTGTGAAACCTGCTGTATGTGACAAAAAAGAAACTGTATGAAACAACCTGAGCCTTGGTGTCCATGTTGGTAAAATTGGGAGAGTGGTACCTACCCCTCAGATGTTATGCAGGTTACCTAGGATACATATAGCCTTTGAGAGAATACATATAAAAACATTTTGCAAGCTGTCCAATACTTTATAGATGTTAGTCATAATTCCTATCCTCAACCTTCTATCTGGACGTGCTATCACAGTGAGTAACCAATGATAATCACACTCTTAAATGATCTCTTCTCTGTTAGGACAATATATTGTGATCATTCTGTCCTCTTTATCTTATACAAGGAAATCATCAGGCCAGAATCACTCTCCAAGTGTCTACTCTGGGCTCATATTTTTTGCCTGGCTTGTCATCTATTGTGCTTTGGATGCTTCAAATGCCAAGTCTTATCAGAAGGACCCAAAGTGTACTATTTTCTATTGAAACTAGAGTTTACTATAAAGTAGGTGGATTGGGTAGAAGTTTATCTGAAACCTTCATATTTAAGGGCCTACAGAATGACTGGACAGGCGTTTAATCTCTGTGGGTGAATCGTTTTCAAAATGGATTCAGACTGCCTTCCTACCACTAACCATTTAATAGTGCTGGTATACCCTGTGTTTTTTTTTTGTGTTTTTTTTCTGGAATTGGATTTTTATGTGATAGCCGAGTACCCTCAAGAGGAGAGAGAATTTCGTGTAGAATAGGTGGATCAAGCTAAGAACACGGAAGGGACAAAAGCAGAGTAGAATGACCATGGAGGAGGAGGAAAATCCATGGCTTACCTATTCACGTTTTATTCAATGCTCTAACCTTTTATGTTTCCTTAGGTGAAGAGGTCCGGAACCCTCAGAAAGCTATTCCTATCGGAATTGTGACTTCTCTGCTTGTTTGCTTTATGGCCTATTTTGGGGTCTCTGCAGCTTTAACACTTATGATGCCTTACTACCTCCTCGATGAAAAGAGCCCCCTTCCTGTAGCATTTGAGTACGTCGGATGGGGTCCCGCCAAATACGTCGTGGCTGCGGGCTCCCTCTGTGCGCTGTCAGCAAGGTACATTGCATTGCTCCCGGGGCAGGGGCTGTTTGGGTTTCTGCAAAGTGTAGTCCATGTTTAAGAATTCCTTTTGTGTATTTCTAAAATAATCCTGATTTCAGGAACATATTATGCAGCTATGTATTCTCTGAATAGTTTGCCCAAACTGCTATCTTTATCTTAAGTGATAAAGTCTTTTTCCCCCATCAGTCAAGAGTCAGTTTCTCAAGATAATGCTGGTCCAACCTTCAGCGGAAATACAATACAGGATTGAGATAGGCATCCACATGCATATACATATGTGTCACACGTATTCATATATGTGTGTATTATCAAACTTTAGGATGCTTATACTAGTATGTTTCCATGCTGGCCCAGACCATTGAAACCCTAGGTGCAGACTTGACATTGTCTTTTAAAGTAACCTCAAGTCCAT